AGAGTTATGGAATTTGTCGACTCTGAAAAGAGGATAAAAACTCCACTGGTCCAAAAAGGAAGGTCAAAAAAAAAATGACTGCATTATTTTCACTCATTCACATTCTAAACATTGACTAGAGCTGCACTCCTCTACATGATCCTCCGTCCCTACATGCAAATGGCTCAAGGAAATGGCTCCAGATATCTCAATACCTAAACAAATGGAACTATCATGTTTTTTAAAGGATTACCAATCATGGGGTTTAATTATTGGTTCCCCATAACTATACATTGGGCACCAAAATCTGCTTTTCCCGTCGCTGCCCTGCTACTAGTGAAGGCTATCTTCTGATAGTCGTTCATGTCCACCACCTGCTGCCAATATGCAGCGCACTCCTCTAGGCCAAACCTGCGGAAGTCACAGCCCGGGCTGACATCATCATTGAAGGTGATTCGTTTCAAGAGAATCAAACAGTGACCATTATATTTGTGTATATATATATATACATATATAATAATAATAATCATCATCATCATCATATTGTATGTATGTATGTAATGTAATGTAATGTAATGTAATGTAATGTAATGTAATGTAATGTAATGTAATGTAATGTAATGTATGTATGTATGTATGTAATGTATGTAAAGTAATGTAATGTAATGTAAAGTAATGTAATGTAATGTTATGTTATGTTATGTATGTATGTATGTATGTATGTATGTATGCGTGTATGTATGTATGTATGTATGTATGTATGCATGTATGTATGTTTGTATGTATGTATGTATGCATGTATACTGTGTACCGTACACATACATGTACAGAATTAATTTTATGACCATATATACATAACTTACAATACTTACACATGTACCGTAATTGATTATCATATTCCCAAGACCACCAGCAACAGCGACCAGGAAAAGCTCGGAGCCAGGAAGCTGCTGGCAGATGTAGACCAAATTCAGGATGTCCTGCGATATGTAGTGTGTTGGTCTGACAAGAAAGGTCAATTTATGGTATATTCATGGGAATTAATGGGATTTCATGAGAATTGTATAGGATGTTTTACCTCTAATGAAACGTGGCTGGGAAATCCGCGCGGAATGGAGAGTAATGGGAAAAACGCTTATAAATAGGGGGGAAAAAACATTGCCATATTTGATTGCCGGAGGGTTAAAAATGGAACCATTCCAAATGATCCTATTCCTATTCCATATGTTCCATATGTGTTTTTTGGTGTCGACTGTCATCACCATGACTTGTTGGTCTATGAACCCATGCTATGATGTCATCATCACAAGTATTCCTGGCACATCTTAGCAATATGGTGACGGTGATGCGCTTGAAATATCGGAATTCCACAGATGGGCAAAGGATGACCCAAACTAGGCCCGGCCGGCCATGACAAGATGTGATCATGATGGTGTGAGCTGCGGTCTTTTTCTTCGCAGTTCCACTGCGTAGAATGTTTGGCCCTTTTGCCAAATAAAACATCCCTGCCATTGGATAAAGCGGCTTTAAACCCTACTGCTTTTGGGGAAAGCAATTTGTCATTGCTTTCGAACTGCGTAGACTATTTCCTTTTTTTGGAGGAAACCTTTCATCCTTGCTGTTTTTTCAAGAGTCGCACAAGGCGTGTCATCATCTCTTTGGAAGAGACTTTGACGCCACATCAACTGTTGGACCATGCAATGACTTCTTTGTTCAAAAATACACAGCGTAGCAGCAAGTACATACACAGCATCACATGAACGTTTTAGTACAGGCGCTACGTAACTTAACATGAACGTTATTGTCCCACCCCACCCCAAACCCCACCCCATCCGTGACGTAGCAGCAAGATGCAGCAAGTACATACGCAGCGTAACATGAACGTCATTGCCCCACTCCACGCCACAGCACACGAAAGACTGCAAATTGCACTAAAACACACGGCCGTTTACAAGCCGTGGTCCAACTACCCAAGCATCCCAAAGCCACCGAAGATAGATCATTTGAACGAGAAAATTAGATGAAATAGGCTTGGGCGTCCCAAACTCGGGACATACCCATCCATGGAATCATGCAAGATCTTGGATCACTCTAACTCAAAAAGCCTCAAAAGCAGCTCAGCAAGCAAACGTTCAAGCGATCTACAGCGTACCACAAGAGGGCTTGACAATCTGTTGGGTGGTGCCAGGGCGTCGTTGATCTAAAGTCCAAAACAGGGCAGCTCTACGTATGTTTCTATATCAAAAACTATCAAAGTATATCAACGTGTTCTTTCCTCAATGCAACATCATTCATATGGGTATGGTATGGCTCAAAACCATGGGTATAGGTCGTTCCGCGGTGATCCGGACGCATGGAACGAGTGAGCTACGTATAGCAGGACCTGCTGAGAAGGTATACTAAGTTGGCCCGTTTTAAGTACAACTTGTCATTGTTGGATATGGATCAAGGGTACAAATCATATCCTTGGAGATGTATGGATCATGGGTATGCATCATCGTGGCCATGGATCGCATGTGGGTCCAGGGTACGGATCGGAGCCTTACATTTTGAGCCATGGCCAATATCAGTCATATCATTCCCAAAGACTGTCAGCGCGACGGGATGCGCCTTCTGGAAGCAAGATCCACCAAAGCCCACTGAAGCATTGAGGAACCTTGCCGACTTGAGCAGTTTTTTCCCGAATGCGTAGCAAGGATTCCCGTTTCACTCTGGGGGTCTGGGGGCTGAGGGTGTGTTCGCTCGACGTTGCGTTTACGTTCGCAACCGTCCGCAACCGTTCGCAAACATTCGTGTGAGGGCCCTATGGCCGTGCCTATGGTAAGTTCTGCAGAAGGGGTCCTTTTTGGAGGTTTCAAACGTCTCGTTGCTTCGTTTCGCATGGCAGGCGTGGCACTTCGTGACATTCAGACGTGTTTTGTAACGTGTCGAAAGTGGTTTTGTGTGGCATGTGCCATACTTTTGTGACGTTTTCGCAAGAGTTGCAGTTTTCGTGGCAAGTGCAGCACTTTGGACGTGTCCATCGTCATTTTACGTGGCAGTGGCAGCACTTTAGACGTGTCGTGTTGCGTGTTTTTTGCGAATCGCATTGGCAGGGCTGCGTCAAGTGGCGACAAGGTGCAGATTCCGTGGTAGGCGTGGCATTTTGTGAGATGTGCTGAAAATTGACGGAAGCTTCGCACGAAACATCGATTTTGAGGTAGCAAATTTAGAGGTTCCTAAGAAAACTCGTAGGAAAACGTCGATTTTGAGGCTACAAAGTGTCAAATGAAGTCTCGCATGAAATGCTCGTTTTGCTGCTCCCACGTGTCTCGTCTCGAGTCTCTGGTTTTCCTGTGGCCTCGCCGTGTCTATGGGGGAAGCTGCAAAACCTCTCCTTTTTGGAGGTTTCCAAGCAGATTGTCATGTCGTTTTGCGTGGCAGGCGTGGCACTTTGTGACATTCCAACCTGTTTTATACCGTGTCGAAGGTGTTAAAATTGGAGGAAGTCTCGCATGAAATGCTCGTTTTGATGCTCCCACATGTCTCGTCTCGAGTCTCTGGTTTTCCTGTGGCCTCGCCGTGTCTTTAGGGGAAGCTGCAAAACCTCTCCTTGTCGAAGGTTTCCAAGCAGGTTGTCATGTCGTTTTAAGTGGCAGGCGTGGCACTTTGTGACATTCCAACCTGTTTTATACCGTGTCGAAAGTGTCAAAATTGGAGGAAGTCTCGCATGAAATGCTCGTTTTGATGCTCCCACATGTCTCGTCTCGAGTCTCTGGTTTTCCTGTGGCCTCGCCGTGTCTTTAGGGGAAGCTGCAAAACCTCTCCTTGTCGAAGGTTTCCAAGCAGGTTGTCATGTCGTTTTAAGTGGCAGGCGTGGCACTTTGTGACATTCCAACCTTTCTTATACACTCCACACTCCACACTCTACACTCTACACTCCCAACTCCCCACTTTACACTCCACACTTTACACTTTACACTCCACACTCCACACTTTACACTTTATGCTCTACACTCTACACTCCACACTTCACACTGTACACTCGTCACTCCTCACTCCCACTTCACACTCCACACTTTACACTCCACACTACACTTTCCACTCCACACTCCACACTCTACACTTTACACTCCACACTCCACACTTTACACTCTACACTTTACACTATACACTCCAACACTTTACACTTTACACTCCTCACACCACACTCCTCACTCCACACTCTACACTTCACACTCCACACTTTACACTCCGCACTCTACACTTCACACTCGACACTCCACACTTTACACTGTACACTCCTCACGTCACTTTACACTCCACACTTTACACTCCACATTTTACACTTTACACTCTACACTCTACACTCCACACTTTACACTTTACACTCCTCACACCACACTCCTCACTCCTCACTCCACACTCTACACTTCACACTCCACACTTTACACTCCGCACTCTACACTTCACACTCTACACTCCACACTTTACACTGTACACTCCTCACGTCACACTTTACACTCCACACTTTACACTCCACACTGTACACTTTACACTCTACACTCTACACTCCACACTTTACACTGTACACTCCTCACTCCTCACTCCTCACTCCTCACTCCACACTTTACACTCCACCCTCCACACTTTACACTCCACACTCCACACTTTACACTCTACACTTTAAACTTTACACTCTACACTACACTCTACACTCCACACTTTCCACTTTACACTGTAAATTCCTCACTCCACACTGCACACTTTACACTCCACACTTTACACTCCACAATCTACACTTTCCACTCCACACTCTACACTTTACACTCTACACTTTACACTCTACACTTTACACTCTACACTCCACACTTTACACTCTACACTCCACACTTTACACTTTACACTTTACACTCCTCACACCACACTCCTCACTCCACACTTTACACTCCACACTACACACTCCACACTTTACACTCCACACTCTACACTTTACACTCTACACTCCTCACACCACACTCCTCACTCCACACTTTACACTTCACACTCCACACTTTACACTCCACACTCTACACTTTGCACTCTACACTTTGCACTCTACACTACACTTTACACTCTACACTCCACACTTTACACTTTACACTGTGCAATCCCCACTTCACACTTTACACGCCACACTCCACCACACTCCACACTCCACCACACTCCACACTCCTCACTCCACAATCCTCACTCCACACTTTACACTCCACACTTTACACTTAACAGTCCACACTCCACACTCTACACTCCACACTCCTCACTCCACACTCCACACTCTACACTTTACACACTCCAGGCTCCACACTTTACACTCCACACTCATTACTTTACACTCCACGCCCCACCACACTCCACACTCCTCACTTCACAATCCTCACTCCACACTCCACACACTACACTTTACACTCTACACTCTATATTTTACACTCTACACTCCACACTTTACACTTTACACTTTACACTCCTCACTCCTCACTCCACACTTTACACTCCACACTCCACACTCGACACTTTACACTCCACACTCTACACTTTACACTCTACACTTTGCACTCTGCACTCTGCACTCCACACTTTACACTTTACACTGTACACTCCTCACTCCACACTGTACACTTTACACCCCACACTTTACACTCCACACTCCACACTCTACACTCTACACTCTACACTCCACACCTTACACTTTACACTGCACACCCCTCACTCCACACTTCACACTGCACACTTTACACTCCACGCTCCCTACTTTACACCCCACACTCCACACTCTACACTCCACACTCCACCACACTCAATACTTTACACTTCACACTCCACACTCGACACTCTACCTTTTACACTCCACACTTTACACTTTACACTCTACACTCCACACTCTACACTCCTCACTTTACAGTCTACACTCAGCATTCTACACTTCACAGTTTCCACTCCACGCTGCACACTCGACACTTTACACTCCATACTTTGCACTCTGCACTCCACACTCTACACTTTACACTTTAAATGTACAAGACTGTGTAAATAGACTGTTTCAGAAAAGTGCTCTGCATGACGGCATTTCCATGTGTTTAACATACGTGTGAGCAATCTTGTCATTTCCTGGGCCTGGGATTTTCCCCACGCTGCTCAATCCATTGAAAGGAAAACAAACTTCCAACAGCACATGTGTTACAAATGGAAAACCCTTCCGCACTAACATAGTCTATGTTCACTGTCACTATATGGAGGTTCCCTAAAATGGGGGTTACAAATCATCCAAGATTAGACTACAGCGCGCACGAAGTCGCAGCAAGCCCCTTCCCGGTTAAGGGGGGTACGAGGTGCAAGGAGGCGGGTAAACCGAGCATGCACTAACTATAATGTACTGACAGTAGCCAAGGAAATGTCACTAAGAATAGCAAGTTGACAAACCACGTCGCGCGGTCGTCCCTTGCCGAGTGAAAAGCCAATGGCGTACAGAAACAGCAATGTGTCAGAGCTGCTTTGAAAATGACAGATCTTAGAAGGCTGTACAGCAACAAGCTCAAGCACAAAGGCAAGCAAGAGAGTTTTGGCAAACAAGTACAAGCAAGCATCAACTGCAAGCAAATCAAGACAAGGAAAAACCTCACAAAAAAGTGCAGGCACCTAACTGTTGGTAAACTCGGGGTGTTCCGCCCTCCGGCTTTTTTACTTTTTGTATTGTGCGGTCACGACTTCCTACTCAATGACAAGCTCAGGTGGCAAGCTATCAACATCACCGAAGTCATACCACTGACAAGCCAGAACCTACAAGTGATGCACAAGAGTGCGCTGGCAGGCTAGAACACACTGATGGCTCAAGTCCGGGGCAAAGGCTGAAGTCACCGGCAAATCAGGGCATTGCAGGAAGCGAGTGACATGAGCCCATACATAATATCCTCCGCAAAGCAATCCAACGACACACACCATGCCATAAGGGTTTTGGTTCCTGCATTCAGGTGTTGGCATCGCACCTCCACCATCTGTCATGATTTCAAGATGCTTGGCCAGGCCAAAGGCATGCGAGCAAACAACGGACGTCATTCTACTCCATGGTTCAAGTGTCATCTTCAAGAGGTAACCGTCTGTGATGGCATGTGGACGCGACCTGACTTCAGTCCCATGCCACGGAACCGAAAGATGAGAAGTATCCACAAGACCGGACAACAGAACCTCTGAAGATCCAATAGCAACCACCCGAAGGCCAATCAAAGTCAAAACACAAGTCACTCGATAGTGGCAGGGGCACACCGAAAGCAATGGGGTCACATACTCGAGGATCAGCAGAGGAGGAACGTGGGAAAACTGCATGGCTCAGTTAGAAAGGGGCCACCTCCCCACCTCGCTATGTGGAAGCCTGAGCCCAGAGGCTATCCAAGATTAGACCATTTTAGTCTTGAAATCTATGATTTTGGGGATCCACTATTTTAAGAAACCCCATATTGCTTCCTCAAACAACTAAGGCAAAGTTTGTTGAGACTGCATCTCTCTTCCTACCAATTCGACCTTGTCTTCACTTGATCTGCATCAGCTGTCAGCCGGTCCCGTTCTGCCTAGCAACTTTGGCCCAATCCGGGAATCTGTGCCAATGGCACGGGCCACCTCCTTCACATCCGCTCCAGTTCGCTCACACAACCTGCGATTCACATCAGCATGGGACTGGAAGTTCTCTCGTGACTGGGGCAATTGAAGTCATCCTAAAAATCCACATAGATCCATGATGCTCCATGTTCATCATATGTTGTTCACATTTGCATCATGCTGGTCTGGGTGCAACAAGTTGGTTCGGATTCCATGAACCTCTGCTAGCTGCTAGCGCTCCAAGATTCAGATGTTCTAAAAACATGTCCCCTTCCTGTGCTCTCCACGGTTCATGCGCCCACACACTAGAAACGGTCGGATAAGTCGTGCGAACGGTAAGATTCCAGAGATGCATCATATTTCCCCACCTGCCAGGTGAGGGTTGTTAGATTTTATGTCAGTTGCCTCCTCCTGCTCCTCCTCCTGCTCCTCCTCCTCCTCTCCTCCTCCTCCTCGTCGTCCTCGTCGTCCTTGCTCAACTGCGACCCGCGATCCACAGTGTTCGCTGCCGGACCTCAACCACGACCATCCACGCCCAGTGTTCCCTGCCGGACCTCAACCACGGCCATCCACGCCCAGTGGTCCCTGCCGGACCTCAACCACGACCATCCACGCCCAGTGTTCCCTGCCGGACCTCAACCACGACCATCCACGCCCAGTGTTCCCTGCCGGACCTCAACCACGACCATCCTCGCCCAGTGTTCCCTGCCGGACCTCAACCACGACCATCCACGCCCAGTGTTCCCTGCCGGACCTCAACCGCGACCATCCGCGCCCAGTGTTCCCTGCCGGACCTCATGTAGGAATGTCAGATAGACTGCCAGATAGAATGCCAGATAGAATGTCAGATAGGATGCCAGATAGAATGCCAGATAGAATGCCAGATAGAATGTCAGATAGGATGCCAGATAGAATGCCAGATAGAATGTCAGATAGGATGCCAGATAGAATGCCAGATAGAATGCCAGAAAGAATGCCAGAAAGAATGCCAGATAGAGTGCCAGAAAGAATGTCAGATAGGATGCCAGATAGAATGCCAGATAGAATGCCAGAAAGAATGCCAGAAAGAATGCCAGATAGACTGCCAGATAGAATGTCAGATAGAATGTCAGATATCATGCCAGATAGAATGCCAACATATATGCCAGAATATATGTCAGATAGAATGCCAAAATATATGTCAGATATAATGCCAGATAGAATGCCAGAATATATGCCAGAAAATATGTCAGATAGAATGCCAGAATATATGTCAGAATAAATGACAGGTAGAATGCCAGAATATATGTCAGATGAAATGTCAGATGAAATGTCAGAAAATATGCCAGATAGAATGCCAGATAGACTGCCAGATAGAATGCCAGGTGGAATGTCAGGATATATGCCAGAATATATGCCAGAATATATGTCAGATAGGATGTCAGAATATACTAAATATATGTCCAAATATACGTCCTGACATGTCATGGTGGGGATCACACGAAGTAGAGTATTTTTTGTTAGATGGCAGCCGCAGGGAGGGGGGTCATTTGTCTTCATCCTGCAATGACGGCACACAAACCTTTAAAAGGCAATCGAATCGAACAGTCGAAGTCCAACCAACAGTTGAAGGCTTTTCACATCCAGGCTGTTCATTCCACTGATTCTGGGGCCTGAGAAGGTAGTTTGAAAGTTTGCAGACGCCCAACTTTCGACCATCCAATATCGTGGAGTCTACACCTACACATGTTGGACCTGCGAGATTTGTCATCCTCTGTTCAAGCCTATTTGCCCATGCCCAACAGGGCTTCGGACCATAGTCATGGGCAGGAGTGCCAACAAAATCAACGTGATCTGTTCAAACATGTGTGAAACCCTCAAACGTAATAAACGTATTGGTCTCCCCTATACCGATTTATACACAACATGTTTGAACAGCCAATTTGGTTGGATTATGGTTGGATTTTCTGTATCCCAGATGAACCATGGGTTTTCATTTCCCAACTGCTGACCGCCTAGAGATGGAATTGATGCTGCTGACACGTTGGGCCAACATAGCGTTGGCAACCAATTTCGACAGCTCCGAACTCCTTGGGGCGGACAACATGGGAACCGGGGAACCTTTGCGGGGCAAAAATTTTCCAGTCACCTTGAGAGTTGTTGAATGCACCTGCCAAGACTCCAGAGGTTGGTGGTCAGGATTCGATCCCTTGGGACCCAGTTGGCATAGACATCGGCCAGCACCTGAATTGCATCCTGGCCGCTGAGCTGTGGGCCGTCAGCACCCCAGACCTGGACTTCTGTGTACAAACCTTTTCACAACGTGTCAAAACATGTCAAAACCCCTACAGTCAAAATGTTCTGTTCATAGAAAGTTTGAAGCTATTTGTTGTTGTCCGGTTTCTCCCCAAATAGCAATTACTTTACTTCGTGTGATCCCCACCATGACATTTATACATTTTGTTACTGGCAAATCTTCTGGCATTCTATCTGACATATCTTCTGGCATTCGATCTGGCATTCTATCTGGCATATCTTCTGGCATATGTTCTGGCATATCTACTGGCAAATCTTCTGGCATTCTATCTGACATATCTTCTGGCATTCGATCTGGCATTCTATCTGGCAGATTATTCTGGCATTTATGTTCTGCATATCTTCGACAATCTTCTGGCATTCTATTGCTGGCAAAATTCTTCTGGATTTATCTGGCATTATATTCTGGCATTCGATTGACATTACGATCTGGCATATCTTCGACATTCGTGCAATTCTTTCTGGCCATTCTATCTGGAATATATGCTGATATTTTATATGGGCATACTTCTGGCATTTCTTCCAGTTGAGGTTCCGGCCAGGCAGTTGCCCACTGAGATCTGAAGTCGCGGTTGAGGTCCGGCCAGTAGTGCCCACTGCAACCTGGAAGTCGCGGTTGAGGTCCGGCAGTGCCCACTGGGATCTGGAGCTCGCGGTGGAGGTCCGGCAGTGCCCACTGGGATCTGGAGCTCGTGGTGGAGGCCGGCTGTGCCCACTGGGATCTGGACTGCGAGGAGGAGGCGGCGGGTGAGGAGGCGGAGGAGGTGGAGGAGGAGGAGGAGAACAGCTCTGATAAAATCTAACAACCCTCACCTGGCAGGTGGGGAATTATAAAAGCGAAATTCCGCATATGAAGATGGTCAGTTGTTGCAGGTACAAACCATAATGAATGTCCAAGTAAACCTGTTCATGTAGCTTTGCAGGTACTATAATATGCCTATTCGTGGCTGGAAACGAACAAGGTCACCAATATTCATTCAACAAGAGCTAAAGATCCTTCGTCATCGGACTTGAGGCTACCTCACTGACATGACTTGAGCCCAATTCCACGACTGATGGACAAATCTGCCGTGTAAGTAGTGCAACTGGTTCCATCTGGCTCCTGATCTTGTCCACCAATCAGCACTCGATCTGGCGCGTCCAAGTCCTTTGGGCACAAAATTTTGCTTCTGACAACCTCTGGTGACCCAGGCAGCCGCAAAATCATGTCACCAAGTGAATTTCAAAACCCAAAACATCTGCAATTAGATGTAAAATTAGCATATAATATATATAATATATATAGCATATAATACATATAATATATATATGTGTATATATATATATATAATACATAGGATACCAGTAGTACCGCACAAGGCGGTGGCGGAAGTTTCAAAAATAGGAAACCTATAGGAGAGATTGGTTGTTGTGAATCAGGGATGGCAGAGCGAAGCCACTGATGGACTGAAAGGTGTTTGAGGTCTCCTCTCTTTCTCTCTCTTTCTCTGACTATCTACCTACCTGTCTATCTTCTATGTATCTATCTATCTGTCGATCTATCTATCACTCTCTCTCTTTCATCTAATTACCTATCTATCTATCTATCTATCTATCTATCTCTCTCTCTCTCTTTCTTTCATCTGTCTATCTGTCTAGCTGTCTGTCTGTCTATCTATCCATCTATCTATCTATCTGTCTATCTGTCTACCTGTCTATCTATCTATCTATCTATCGATCTATCTATCCATCCATCTATCTATCTATCTACCTCTCTCTCTCTCTATCTATCTATCTATCTATCTGTCTGTCTGTCTGTCTGTCTATCTATCTATCTATCTATCTATCGATCTATCTATCTATCTATCTATCTATCTATCTATCTATCTATCTATCTATCTATCTATCTACTATCTATCTACTATCTATCTACTATCTATCTATCTATCTATCTATCTATCTATCTATCTATCTATCTATCTATCTATCTATCTATCTATCTATCTATCTATCTATCTATCTATCTATCTATCTATCTATCTATCTATCTATCTATCTATCTATCTATCTATCTATCTCCTTTCCGTCTGTCTAGCCATCCGAACTTCCAAAAGTGGTCCGAACATGTCCGAACCCGTCTTAGTGTTTTTTGACATTTTGGCTTCCGAATGTGCTTCGCGCCACAACGGCGTGCACTTTTTCGAGATCTGAACTTCCAATAGTGGTCCGAACCCCTAGTGCTTTTAACATTTTGACTTCCAAATGTGCTTCGCGCCACAACGGCGTGCACTTTTTCGAGATCTGAACTTCCAAAAGTGGTCCGAGTGGTGTGTTTTGTACATTTTGACTTCGAAATGTGCTTCGCGCCACAACGGCGTGCACTTTTTCGACATCGCAACTTCCAAAAGTGGCCCGACGCTGGTGTGTTTTGTACATTTTGACTTGAAAATGTGCTTCGCGCCACAACGGCGTGCACTTTTTCGACATCGCAACTTCCAAAAGTGGTCCGACGCTGGTGTGCTTTGTGCATTTTGACTTGGAAATGTGTTTCGCGCCACAACGGCGTGCACTTTTTCGACATCGCAACTTCCAAAAGTGGTCCGACAGTGGTGTGCATTGTACATTTTGACTTGGAAATGTGCTTCGCGCCACAACGGCGTGCACATTTTCGACATCGCAACTTCCAAAAGTGGTCCGGAGCTGAGGTGTTTTCTACATTTTGACTTGGAAATGTGCTTCGCGCGACAACGGCGTGCAATCTTTCATCTCTCATCTGGCCAGCTGGCTCCGCACCCGCCGCTTTAGCGAGCCTACTTTTCGACCCTCCGGAGCCACAAATCATTGGAAAAACACAGTGAATCTCGACTTTCCTACCTTTTCGCGCATCTTACTCTTTCTCTTCTACTCTTATCTCTTCTAATCTTTCTCTTCTCTCTGCCTCTTCCCTGCTCTGCTTTTCATCTGTCCATAGTGTCGGAAGTTTGACTTCTAAACTTCCTTCGATAATATAATATAATATATTGATATTGCTAAGGAGTGGGCTGACAGCTTGCTACGGTCCTTCATGGCTGTGCCCTCTGCTAGGAACTCAGGGTTCGACAAGATCCAAAAGTTCCTGGGCGGATTGCCAGGCGGATTGCCTAAAAACATCTAAAAACCATAGAAACGACAGAATGCCATGTTGCAGGTTGGAAAAAGGACAATATGTTTCCTGCAGGATCAATAACCACGTATGAGTCTTGAGATGGAAGCCCTTTCCAAACATAGCCGATCTACTTCCGTTTGCCATCCGCCACCAGGAGTCTCCCAGAATTCCCCGCATAGTGTATCCATGTGCATCCCAAGATATAGCTGTGATCTAGACGTTGCTTCCTCATGGAATTCAAATCCAGTGACCCATTCCATCCATTCCCTGCAGTCAAGGTTCTTACTGCCGCCTGCGGCGGCTTCATTGGCTGACAACACACGGGCAATGGCTTCAGCTGTCTTGATGGGCACGGTGGATTTCTCAATCACAATCCTTGGTGGCAGAGTTCAGGCTACCGCACGGCTGGCATGGCATACTATCTAATATCTATCTAGTCCATATGTGGTCAGAAGTCATCATGCAAAAATCGCCACAGAGACAGCTCTACTGAAACCATCTGCAACCGGTCAGCTTGAAAAAATGATCAACTATACTAAGCTAATACTAATCAATTCCTAATCTATATGTATACGATACCTGCACCATAGGCCCTCATGGTGGTGGCCTGAACTCAACATGCTTCCCATGGGCCGCAAGCCAGTAGATTCAAAAGCCTTGTGAAGCATCATGCTACGCAACTATGGCAAATGTCCAGCAAGTTCGCCAATCCATGCCTATACCGCCTATACTCGTAATTCAGAAATTTGGAAACCCTGAGGGTCATCATGCGACATCATTTATACATATTTATACCAAAGATCTTGCTGCGGTTGGCGTATTGCGCGATGGTGCGGCCTACACTTTCGATGAATCGCAGATCTGCTGCGCGTCCTTTCCCCACACCTAACAAGGGGGTTGAGCCAAGCATCTTCTTAAAAGTGTTCACGTGTGAAACACTGGTAGTTTCCAACCGTCTTTCACAATAGCTGGGGCTGGAGTGAACTCAAATGATTCTCGAATCTGTGAATATAATGGATCCCAATAGTGGACCTGGAAGATATCCAAAGAAAATAGGATTTCACAAACAAGACTGGGGGTTAACATGGATTAACCACCCAAAACACTCAATATCTTGCATTGAGAAACAAACTTGAAATTGAAAAGTGTCAAGTGTATAATGAAAACATACATACATAATCATACATACATAAATACATTCCATTCCATTCCATTCCATTACGTTACATTACATTACATACATACATACAGAAAGCCATAAATACATATTATGACCTCCTGACTCCTGACAGTTTTCCACCCCTTTCGACATTGAGGCCTCAGGGATCTGAACATTCTTCAGGCTCATTCTTCAACTATCAAGACCATTCTCGCATCATTACATCATTGTAAGGATATATAAGGTCTTGAAAGTTCCGGTTGACTAGTAATGTCGATATACCCTATTTCACAATTTCAAGTCCTGCGGAACCGCCCCGCTTGGCACCATCGGCACCATCGGCACCCTCTGCACCTTGTGTCTTGGTGGGAGTGTTCACAGAAGCAAAGATGATGTCCGCCTCCTCGATTCCTTTCTTCACATCGGTCGAGAAGAACAGATTCTTGCCACGGCATGCCTGGAGACGGGACAAAATATGGACAAAATCCCATGATATTTAAAACTGGGTGAAGAACTAGGTAGGGTCAAATGTTCTTGCAAACCATCAAATTTTGGACTTTGAGGCACAGAGACACTTGAATGAGCACTGCGGAGATGCGCCACTTCCTTCAGGAACAAATGTTCTACAATGTGCATACATAATCATATTGTATATTAATATATGGTGTGTGTATATATAATATAATCCTATATATGATCATATGGCTATGGGTCAAAGCCCTGGTTCCCTGTAGTTCTGGCCAACATCGGATTCGGAAACTTCAGCGGCGGATTCGGAAACTCCCAGGCCCTCGGATTCGGAAACTTGCCATCCCTCGGATTCGGAAACTTCAGC